GGGAGTCGAGAAGATTTCGTGCAAGGCATGAAGTTCAAGATGAGTGGCAGAATAAATACAGCTCAAGATTAGATATTCTAGAGTTTGAAGGTAAAATCAATGTTGATGACTATATCGATTGGTTTAATACAGTAGAAAGAATTTTTGATTTTCATGAACAACTAGAACAAAAGAAGGTAAACTTGTGGCACTCAAATCCAGATGGAATGTATCATTTTGATGGAAAAATTAGAAGAAACAAAAAGAACGTGAGGGGAAGAGTAAGATCATGACATGGGAAAAAATGAAAAGGAAGCTGAAGAGAAAATATTTAATTGATAATTATCGGCAAGAGATCTTTATCAAAATCTAAGATTTTAAGCAAAAAGATCTTAGTATAGAAGAGTACATAGTAGAGTTCGACAATTTAATGTTAAAAGGAGAGTTTATGGAACTAGAAGAGCAAACCATTGTAAGATTCTTAGGAGGTCTGAAGTATGAGATTACTAAAGTTGTTCAACTACAGCCAAATCGGTCTTTAAATGATGTGAGCAAGCTAGCATTAAAAGTTGAAAAGCAATAGAAGTTTGAAAAGAATTCTCGGTACGATTCAAAAGAAGGCTATATAAAAGGAGAAAGTTCCAAGCCTATTATCCAAAGCAAGGTGATATCTAAGGTGCAAGAAAAGGGTGAAGAATCTACTGGCAACAAAAAGACATATAATTCTTCTACCCAAAGTGGCTGAAAATGCTTCAAATATCATGGTTTTAGGCATATTGCTTCAGATTATCTAAATAGGAGGATTATAACTTTGGTTGAAGATCATAGTGATGGAGGAGTAGATAATGCTGACGATGAACCAAAATATGATGAAGATGAGAAAGAGGTTACTTATGCAGATCATGGTTTGTCTATTGTATTGCAACGTAGCTTACAAGTGTCTTATGTGGCCAATGATGAAAGTTGGGTGAGAAAAAATATGTTTCACACTAAATACACTTCTCTTGGCAAGGTGTGCTTGGTGATCATCGATAGAGAAAGCTTTGAGAATATGTGATCTTTGGAGATAGTGCAGAAGCTAAAGTTGG